CGCTCCTCCACAGCTTCTTCACGTCCTACTCGACGTGTCGTCGAGCCTGGTAGGTCGAGTCCGGTTCTGGATGCTCTTGAATGGCTTCATTCCTCTCCAACTCGATCCCAGGTCTAGCTCCAAGGTTGTGTGGCTCCTCCTTGCTCCATTAAGTCCCAAAATAAGCTCCAAAGCACCTGAAACTCATCCAATATGCAACATGCTATGCCATGCAATGCAAATCGTACTAAGTGATGAAAATGATATGAAAAGGACTCTAGATGCAATGAAAGAGATGCGAAACTTAGTTAAATGCACGAGAAAAGTGTGCTTAAAAGTGGTAAAATACAGAGATATCAACTCCCCCAAACTTAGCTTTTGCTTGCCCTCAAGCAAACAAATAGGACTAAGCTGGAGAAGAGGTTTGAAGGTGGAGACTCAGAACCAAAACATGCATATAGAGTAAGTGAATTCAATGTCCAGGTTGCTAATTCTAGAATGCAAGGTTGACTGATCTCTACTTAAAAACATTAGCCATCTCCTTCACATCTCAACCTAACCTCTGCCTTAATCAATTCAAGCATTCAAATCAGCACATTCCCTTTAACATTGATTAAGTAGGAACCGTGAATCATACTATGCAGTGGATATGAACACATTTGGCTTAAGGGTAGAGGCTTAGAGACAAAGATGGTCCCTTAAAGATCTGGTTTAAATCGCAACAGGGGATCTCTCAAGAATGATTGAGCTTTAGTAGAATGCTAAAGGTGAGTATCAAGTTATGCATACAAGGATAAGACCCCATCTACCCATAATGTAATCAATATCAACCCAAATGGAGGTCCTATTTCTAATCCCAGAACATGAACTTAACTCTACCCTTTTGCACTCCAAACATTTACAGACTTTTACTCACATCATTTCTTTCTTTTCTTTGCTTTTCTATCCTAGGAGAAGCTTTCTTACTTTGCTCTGTCTAGCGGATTAGGATTCTTTAACAACTAGGGTTCCCTTTTCTTTCTTCTCATAAACACAAGGCTTTTGCCCATTCTCTTTAAGCTATTTACAGAACCCTTTTCTTTACTTTAACATTCCCAAATCCTTTACTAGACTTTTCTTACTTTAGCTACTTCTCCTAAGAACTCTTTTTCCCTTTTCTTTTCTTTCAATGATGAACACAACCTTTTCTTTCTTTTAAACACAACCCAAACCCAGAATTAAGCACCCACCTAGTCCTATCTGGTCCAGATAACGTGAACCCGAACTACATGAGATACTATCCTTGTCGTTACAGACCTAACACTTTCTACCAAGCTCAATCGAAATAAGGCCTCACATTCACACACAAATGATAAATGGCTTGAAAGAAGGTTAAGGTTTAGGGTAGGGAATAACTGCTCCAAAGATGGGAGTCAGCTACTTGGACTAGCAAGAGTGATCAAAAGGTAAAAGAAAGTCCAAGTATTTTAAGGTATCCATGAGTTCATAGCACAATGCACAGCATGATAATTATAAATCAAAATTCAAGTTCAAATTGATAGGGAATGGCATCAGATCAAAGCGAGATTCGACTAAGAGCAAGAAAATCAAGCGTTGAATTCAAAAGATGGTGCGGTCTTACTTCAAGTTCAATCGATTATGCATTAGAGAACTAACAACCTGGGCACTGAGTTCTACTTAGTGAATATGCATATTTACAAGGTTATAATCATCATAATCTCCAATGCAAATGCATGATGCAACAGCCCTAAGTGAAAGCATACTAAAACAATCCTAAAATGACAATGCAAGCTATATGAACACTCTGTTTTTGTGAAATCATATTTGAAAATTTTCAAATTTTTATGGTTTTTCTATGCCTTAGATGCAATGATGCAAAATTTGAGATAAGAAAACAAGACACAATGTCAAATACTCCCTGAGCCCTCCCCCAAACTTAAATTACACAGTCCTCTGTGTAACAAGCATTTGGAAGAGAGTACTCAGGGCAAACCAACAGAGAAACAAAATGAAATGTGGTATATACAATGGTGAATTGGAGTTGTTACCTCATGGATGGGTGAAGAAGAAGGTGATTGACCTGGTACTGGTGGGCAATGAGTGGGCTCGACGTTGGGTCGAGCTAGTACGTCGAGTAGGGCTTCGGTTTGGGTTTGGAGTGACACCAAGCGGCCAGCTCGACTTCACGTCAAGGAGGGCAGGTCGAGTCAAGGCCACTCATTCTGTTTTGCGCCTTGGCTTCCTTAAAACGCTTTATCCTGAGACACTTAAGCAAAAACATCAAAAATAACAAGGAATTAACTAATATTTACAAGGATAGACATGGGACTTCCTCCCAAGTGAGCTTGTTTAAAGTCTTTAGCTTGACTTCTCACACTGAATGAGCTTAGGGTGGATTGTAGAGAGGAATCAATGTCTCCTCTGTCATGCGGTTGGATGAATCATCTGGCTTAGCAGGCTCTCTTGATAAATCTGCAGTTGAGTACTCAATGACCCTTTTCTCATTGTAAGCTTCTTGTTGAGCAACTGGATAGTCTTCTTCTATAGACCATGCTGAAGTGAATTCACTCCCCTTTTTGCTGACCAGAGTAGATGCTTCATCAGTTGGGACATCCTTGATTGGGAGTGGTTTTTGGTTGGCTATCCCATGGAGCTTCTTGATTTGATCCTTCAGCTCTCTCACAGTGTCTGTTAGCTCCCTTATGGCTTTATCCTGCCATTTGGACCTCTCCTTGAGTTCTAACCAGCCATCTGGAGCAGAATTGCTAGACTCTAGCAGCTTATCACGATGTTTGGTTGAGCTAGAGTTCTCCAGACTAGTTGTAGGCTTGCTCAAATGTATACTCGAGTCAGTTGGTTGAGCATGTGTTGAGCTTGCTTCATATGCCACCTTAACCTCCGTTTCTGGCTCAATTAAGCCTTTTAAGACCTCTGACCCTGCTACTTCCTTGTGTGATTCTAATGACTTACCACAGCTCAAGGTTTCAGTGAGAAGATATCCTGCTTCACCACTCTTAGTCAAAGAAGTTTGTTGGTGATCTTCCTCAGCAACCTCCTCTAGCTGTTCATCAGCTAGACAATCCATTACCTTAACTACGAAGGTCTGTCCTTCAATTGTTGGCTTCCTCGTGGCATCATTGATGTCAAACTTCATTTTGAAATCATTTCCCAGATTAAGATCAATCTTCCCATTCTTAACATCAATGACAGCTCCAGCAGTGGCTAAGAAGGGCCTTCCAAAGATTAAAGGATCTTTTGGTTCATCCATTTCTAGCACTATGAAGTCTGTAGGGATTTCAGCATTTCCAATCTTAATAGGCAAATCTTCTAATAACCCATGAGGAAATCTGATAGACTCATCAGCCAGGATCAAGGTGATGTTGCAAGGTTTATACGTGCTGAAACCCAGTCTCTTGGCCACGGAGAGAGGCATGAGACTTTTAAAAGCACCTAGTATAGTGGTAAGTATTCCCGCCTGTCACGCGGGTGACCCGGGTTCGATCCCCGGCAACGGCGCCAAATTGATACTAGGATTTTTACTATCAATTACCCTAGATTACTATCATGTCATTGCAGCAATTTAGGTTATCAATCCAATCAGGTGCTCTCACTATCAATCAAGATATGCTCAGAGATAACTAAGTCAAGCCAAGCAGAATAGAGTTTTGTTATCTAGCAATCCTAAGCGAACATGCATAAAAACGATAAAACTACAGAACAAGAATGATCATGCATAAAGAGAAACGACTATCAATACTAAGCAGCAAATAGCAAGCAGGTCGAGTACAGTACAGAAGCTAACAGAAACAAGATTCAAGCAATCAATAGAGATAAAAGGTCCTGAGGAATGGGGTAATCGATTATGGCAGTCTCCTTAGTCTACCTAGGTGGTTAACAAACTCAATCAAGCTATCCCTAGACAATAGATTCGAATACAAATCAATCCACTCTCGTGACAGAGATTCTCAAGCTAAATCACTTTCATACTCAATTCTCATTGAAGAAATATAACCTAGCAGGCATTATGATTCAATCTAATATAGTCAATAAGCATTCTAATCATCCAATCTCTTGGGCTAGAGTATGCAAATCTCTGGAAAAGTTTGTTCAGACATTTCATCAAACACCTTGTGGGCATGGAAATGTCTGAAATCAATTTCCAATTGATCAGAGAAGAAATAGCATTAAGATCTACTAAACCAGAAGGGAAATCAAGCAATTCTACACTTAACCACCTAAATATACTAAGGATTCCACACCTAGTCTAACCCATCCTCAAGAACCCTAATCCACTACTCAAGAACACTGAAGAACATCATGCATAAAAACCCAGAAAACTGCACAAACCCAGAAATCATTGAAAAGCAAGTATGTTATAGATAAGAGAGAGATCTACAACTTTGATGAAGAAAAGAAATGCAAAAACTCAAAGGATCAACAGGAAAAACGATTACAAAATCTAGGGTTTTTGAGAGAACAGTGGAATATCTGCTGGATAAAAGGAATATCCCCTGGGTAATAGGGTGAACCCCTATTTATAGGAAATACTAGGTTGCCCTAATTGGCTACAGGACAAAATAGAGAGTCGGCGGAGACCAACTCGACGTGATGTCGAGCCCATGTCCTTCTTCAAAGGTGGCGGCTTGATGTCCAACTCGACGTGTCGTCGAGTCCATGTGCTCGAGTCCGCTCCTCCACAGCTTCTTCACGTCCTACTCGACGTGTCGTCGAGCCTGGTAGGTCGAGTCCGGTTCTGGATGCTCTTGAATGGCTTCATTCCTCTCCAACTCGATCCCAGGTCTAGCTCCAAGGTTGTGTGGCTCCTCCTTGCTCCATTAAGTCCCAAAATAAGCTCCAAAGCACCTGAAACTCATCCAATATGCAACATGCTATGCCATGCAATGCAAATCGTACTAAGTGATGAAAATGATATGAAAAGGACTCTAGATGCAATGAAAGAGATGCGAAACTTAGCTAAATGCACGAGAAAAGTGTGCTTAAAAGTGGTAAAATACAGAGATATTAGTTGTACATCGAGATGCTCTGTCCATGCATCAGAAATAGGGTCCAATGAATCCTCAGCTTCAGCTCACTCCATAATGTCCAGCAAAAGAGTTTCCTCAGCCACTGATGGTTGCATAATACTAATGATGTCCTGCGAAGAACAAGAAAACAAAGGTTAACACATTCATACATAAACACATTCATACATAAAGATAGAGTGAAAAACCTGTCATTCATATATAAATTAGTTCTTACCTTAGTTGTTCCAAGCGCTTGGTTGACTTCTTTAAGTGGAAAACATGTCATTCCATTGTCTTTAAATTTCTTCTTGCACATCCGTGGGCATCCATCATTTGCGCCTATTACACCTTCTTGAAATTGTTTGGACAGCTCAGGAATGCATTCAAACGCCAAAACCTATACACATTTACACAATCACATATCTTAAAGAATCCAAAAAAGTTATACTTATTATAGAGAAACACAGAATTTTACCTCAAGAGGAACTATGAACCCTCCAAACAAATGGTCAACTTTCACTTTGCCATTTAACCGCTTCTTCATCAAGTGATCAATTTGGTTCATAGTGTCTTCGAAAGTAATCCGCCCCCAAGGAAACTTTTTTACCTCTTCCAAATCATTCACTATCTTCAGACCAAATGGATGTATGCTATTAAATCTTCTCCCTCCTTTTACTATCGTGGATAAGAAGAGTAAGACAGCCACCTGCAATCGATCTCCACCACACGCATCTTCCATTGATTGCAGCATCTTTTCCACATCGCTCACTGTTACACCTCTTGTTCCAAAGACCCTCTCCACAAAGTCATAGCTACCAAAACTGCTTGCATTATAATCTAATACATAGTCCCTACAATCAAATCCAGTGATCAAAGCATTTTATTAAAGACGACACCGTGATGGATCGGTTTCGATTAAAGAATTAGAACTCGGGTGTATTGATAACCTTCTTACCTTGCCTTAATTATATCGTATAAGTAATATATATACATGTATATATTATGTTCATGCATTATAAGCAGTGGTTATTACGAACCAATACAACCCTTGATAGATGCTATATACATGTATATATATGTGTGGTGTTAAATACGTCAAATGTTACGTTTTTGTTCTCGTTACAGGAGAAACAAAAACAAATCAATAACTAGACAGAAAAACATCAACTAAAGGGTTAGTGGTCTTCTCCATCAAAGATCACGTGAAGGAACAAGGATTAAGGGGAGAAGAAATCAATTGGTGAATTGATTCCATTACAAGCCTAATTAATCAATGGATCAAGGTTAGTCTTTCTTCTTATACAAGAAAGTGTTTGTAGTTGAATTAAATTGAATCTAGAAGATCATGGGAATTAGATTTCATGACTAGAAATCATAAAAGTATAAATATTTGGTATCAGAGCAAATTCTAGATTTGTTAATTCACCATTCAATGATTTTGTTGGAATCGTGAAATTATCGAAGTTTACGTAACGGACAGTGTCTACGTATGATCATGAACATGAAAGAATGTTTAAATAATTATTATAGTCTAGAAATCATGTTCTCGTAATTAATTACGTTTCTCTCTATCAACGCCATTGAAATGTTCTTAAGGGGCTAGATTAAATAATCGGTTAATTTTGAATGGGTGTAAACTTCGGTTAGTTTATTGTTTTTGAAATTTCTGATTAGAAGCGACACTATAAAGGAATCGAGTGTTGTGTTACATGTTTCACACGTGATGAAAAGTTATCTAGTTCATATGATTGCGTTAGGTATTTTACATCATATAATTTGATAATAGTTAATTATCGCCTTCGCTGCGATTTTGATAAATGGGATAATTGTGTTATGAAAGACTAACACAATTAAAAGTACTTTATACCCATTAAAGTTTTAATGTGTATATTGTATGTAGCATGTTAGTCACCAAAATGGCCTTGTTACATTACATATAGACATTAAAAGCTAAAAGATTCTACTAATTGATCATGATTAAAGAGATGCTAAAAAATGACATTAAAGTTTTGATTGATCAATTATTTTATTATCTATATCCTTGGAGATAACCCAAAGGTGGATCATTGGATATAGTTAATAATACGAAAAGAATTAATCATTTCCAATATAGTCAATAATATGTATACAGTATACCCAAAGGTAACATGTCTATTAGATTATATGTGTGATTTGATTAATTATAAAAGTATAAAATTTAGCATCGCCAAAAAATGCTAGTATTTAAGTATTGCCCAAAGCTTGCTTGATTACATGCTTTAAAGTTTATTTATGGCCTTAGAATCTGTATAAAAGTGCCAAAGCACTAATAAGGAAGCAAGTTGAAATGTTTGCAGCTTCATCAAATTTGTTTGCATCCGCTAACTCTGTCGTGAAGTTTAATGGGCTGAATTATGAGGAGTGGTCCGAACAGATCCGGTTTACACTAGGTGTAATGACATTGGACCACGCAATACTCACGGATGAGGAACCCTCAGCCAAGCTCCGAAACTGAAAAGTCTCGCTATGAGGCTTGGGAGCGATCTAACAGGTTGAGTCTGAATCTCTTGAGGATGACGATGGCGGAAAGTGTTAAGCCATCTATGTCTAAGACAGAGAAAGCGAGGGAATTCATTAAGAAAATTAAGGAGTGTTCACAATCGGATTTGGCTGACAAGTCGATTGTAGGAGGGCTCATGAGTGAGCTTACTACGAAAAAGTTTGACTGGTCTCAGCCAATCCATGATCATGTGACGCACATGTCTAACTTGGCATCCAAGTTAACGACCTTGGGAATGGAAGTTCATGAGCCTTTCTTGGTCCAATTCATCATGAACTCTGTACCTCTTGAGTTTAGCTAGTTCCAGGTGAACTACAACACCATTAAGGATAAATGTAGGAGTTAAAGGCTATGTTGGTTCAAGAGGAAGGGAGATTAAAGAAGATGAAGGATCAAGTTGCTCATCTCGTGGGTCTTGGAAGTGCCAGCAGCAGAAAAGGAAAACCAAGTATTATGGATAAGAGGATGGACAAGACTTTCGTGAAAGGGCCTGAAAGTCAAATCCATAAGGAAAGGAAGTGTTTCTTTTGCAAGGAAATGGGACACTTCAAGAAAGATTGTCCGAAGAGAAAAGTTTTCGATAAGAAAGGTACGCAACATATTTATGTTTGCTCTGAATTGAATCTTATCGAAGTGCCTAATAATACTTGGTGGTTAGATTCTGGTGCGACTACTCATGTGTCTCATATTGAACAGGGATTCAGTTCGATTCAACCCATAAAAGGGGCTGATCAATACTTGTTCATGGGAAACAGAATGAAGGCAAGAATAGAAGGCATTGGGACTTATAGGTTGATCTTGGACACTGGTTGTCATGTAGATCTTGAAGGGTGTCTATATGTACCTGAATGTTCTAGAAATCTTGTTTCCGTAAGTAGATTGGACAATTTAGGTTTTGATTTTAAGATTGGACATGGTGTTTTCTCATTGTACCGAAATGATTACCTTTATGGAAGTAGTACTTTGTTTGATTCACTTTATCGGTTTAATCTTGATGCAAAATTTTTTGAATCCTTGTTTAATATTGAAGGTCAAGGCATTAAGCGTAGTGCATCTAATGAAAGTTCAGCTTTCTTGTGGCATCAAAGACTAGGTCACATTTCCAAAAAAAGGATTATGAGGTTGGTAAAGAATGATATTCTTCCTCAGTTGGATTTTAGTGATCTAAATGTGTGTATAGACTGTATTAAAGGAAAACAGACTAAACACATTGTAAAGAAGCCAACCACAAGAAGTACTCAACTTCTTTAGTTAATATACACATCGATATCCGTGGCCCATTCGATGCTCCTTCTTGGAGCGGTGAAAAATACTTTATCACTTTTATTGATGATTACTCACGTTATGGATTTACCTATTTACTACATGAAAATTCTAAATCGGTGAATGTTTTAGAGGTGTTTATTGATGATGTTGAAAGACAGATAGATAGAAAGGTAAAAGTAGTGAGATCTAATAGAGGTGGTGAGTTTTATGGAAAATTCACCGAAAATGGACAATGTCCAGGTCCATTTGCAAAGCTACTTGAGAGTAGAGGCATGTGTACTCAATATACAATGCATGGTACTCCTCAACAGAATGGTTTAGCTGAGAGAAGGAATCGTACATTAATGGATATGGTTAGGAGCATGTTAAGTAATAGTTCTTTACCCCTTTCATTGTGGATATATGCATTAAAGACTACAACGTATGTCTTAAACCGAGTACCTAGTAAGGCAGTTCCTAAGACTCCTTTTGAAATGTGGACGGGAAGAAAACCTAGTTTAAGACATTTACGTGTTTGGGGATCTCCAGCAGAAGTAAAGCCATATAACCCACATGAAAAGAAACTTGATTCTAGGACTGTCAGTGGATTCTTCATTGGATATCATGAAAAATCAAAGGGCTATACATTTTACTGTCCTAACCAAAGTACGAGAATAGTTGAGACGGGGAATGCTAGGTTCATTGAGAACGGTCAATCTAGTGGGAGTGGTGAACCAAGAAAGGTGGACATTCAAGAAATTCAGGTTGAAGTTTCTTCACCAGATGTTCCATCTACAGTTGTTGTTCCTATTGTTTCAGTACAGTCAAATGACACAATAGAACAACATGATGATGTACCAATCCCACTAGATGAAGGGGCAATTAATGAACCTGTCACTATTCAAGAAGAGAATAGTGTATTACAAGAACCATTAAGGCGATCTGGAAGGGAAAGAAGATCTGTCATTTCAAATGACTATGTGGTTTACGCTATTGAAAGTGAATGTGACATAAGCCTTGATGAAGACCCGATCATATTCCGAAAAGCCATGGAAAGAGACAATTCTGAAAAGTGGTCAATTGCCGCAAAAGAAGAAATAAAATCTATGGGGATAACAATGTTTGGGACTTAGTAGAGTTGCCTAACGGTTTCAAGACCGTTGGTTCTAAATGGGTCTTTAAGACTAAGCACGACTCGAAAGGTAACATTGAAAGATACAAGGCTCGCCTTGTTGCTAAAAGATTCACCCAAAAAGATGGTATTTACTATAAAGAGACATTCTCTCCAGTTTCAAAAAAGGATTCTCTTAGAATTGTTTTGGGTTTGGTGGCTCATTATGATCTTGAGCTTCACCAAATGGATGTGAAAACCGTCTTTCTAAATGGAGAGCTTGAGGAGGAAGTATATGATGTGAGTCAAATTAGACCTAAGACTACTCTCTCAAATAAGAGATCGATTGCAGCACTTTAGGGTCGAATTCCACAAAGCTCTCGTGTTCACACAATTGACTAACATGGTTTGAATTAAGCTAAACAGGAAATTAAGTAAATTAAAAGACAAGAAAGCAATTAAAATCGGTTGTAAATTCAGATGAGGAAAACGTCAGGCTTAGGAATTTCTCAAGAAATAAATAAATAGTAAATCTAACAAATTAATTAGGATTATTTAACGAACCGTTCTAGAACTCAAAGCACTAATGTATAGCCAACTACCCTCTTGAATGCGTTGACTAACTAATCTAATATCAAGTAATTCCACCCTCTCGAATGCGAATTCCTAGATCTAGACTAGCATTAAAAACAGGTTTGATATGTTCACAAATATTCCTAGACCACCTCTCGTATGAATCTAGAAATCTCTGCCCACCTAAGATAGTTCCAGTAATAGATGACCTCTCGAATCAACCTATTATTCTAAGATCAAATTCTAGGTGATCAAGCTAGAATTACCATTAAGAACAACCTAAGGTGAATAACT